AGAAGATGAAAGAGAGAATGAAGCACATCTAATAGATGTTAGTCACCCGCTTAATGCACTACTGGAAGGTGCCCAGGTACCACAGTGATTAGGATGGTAAAAGAACCTACATAGAATAGAAAGAACATTAGTAGTCCATGTTGCTTCTGATGCTTGGAATGCTCTTCCTAAATCCATTCTCTCATCCTCCTTCCTCACCTTATTCAAATAACTCCTAAAGACCCCTTCTGCAGCCCCCTCTCCCCCACATACACACTTTGAACCCCTAAACTGTATATCTGCCTAAACTGACTAAAGCCATCATTGTATCACCGTAACCCATGCCATTCCTCACCCCTCCCTTTCCTGCTTTCTGTTATATTCTCACATCTCAAATCCATCTTTTAGTGTATAAGCTTTTCAGGGCAGGAACCTGTCTTTTATGTATTTCCTGTAAAGTGCCTGTCTAATCCAATCTACCCGTCAGTCTCTCTAGATTTTTACACACAACACCTATTGCCAAGCACACTTCTGGGTTCTACAACATACTAAATAATAACCTCGTTCTGTCTTCCTTCTCCAACCGTTGCCAAAGTTGAAGACATAAAACCCCTTTGTTGTACTAATTCCACATTACTACATCATGTGGGTAATGCCATCCTGATCCCCCAATTGGTGATCAGCTAAAGGATTAGGCTCGATAGCTCTTATAACTAGTTCCCTTGCTGCTCTTACTGCAAATGCTGTTCTCATTTGCTTTCAAATTTGGGAGAACAGTTTTACCTCCACCACAGCCCTTATGTACCATTTTTAAAGCTGGTGTTTCCTTTTGTATGAAGGAGAATGCCAATACTTTTGTAAATTAGGCCACTTATTTAGGTGCGTAAGCATGGAGTTAGTAACTTAACTTTAGGCACCCACCTTTGCAATTCTCAGCCTAAATCCCTTAGGAATCATGAATCACTTGGGTCTTTTCCCAAAGGATCTCGTTTACAAATATGGAGTTTCCTCCAAAGCCCTTCCCTTCCCTTTTGTTCTGGTTGCCTGAAGTGGACATGTAGTTCCTCAGGCTGTTTCTGCTGAGTTCTCAGGCTGGGGTCTTTACTGATGGTTTTTGCCTTTCAGTGATGATGGAGGAATCCAAACTTACCAATTTCCAGCAACGCCACCTCATGGACTGCATGAAACGTGAGTGATGCCTCAGCTTTGTCCACCCCCAACCCCCACACATGCACTCTGCCTTGTGCAGGTTGCTGCTTATTGATCTTCTGCTCCTAACCCCTGTGTACACCTTACAGCTGCTGTGGTGAAGCATTCACATGGCCCAGATAAATAGATCGTTCTTTTTACAGAGGGTATTTGCCTATAGACTGGAGGATTGGGAAGAAATTGGGGAGGGAGTATTTCTTTCTCCTCAGCATTTGGTCCACTGCAGCTGTTCTCATCTCTTTCATCATACAACAGTATCTCTTGAACCCTGCATCCAATCTCCACCATTTAAGGCTAAATTTGGTAGCTATTAATATTCTTTATAAGGACTGGATGGGATTTCCCCATGTAACTGGTCCAGGGAATGAGACTAATACTGGAACTGCATTATGTGGTCCAGGGAAATCACCAAGCCACAGACTTGGCTGTTCCTAACCTGCCATTGTCTTCCCTTCCTTTCCCAGGAGGTGTTTCCCTGCCCGCTCACTGCAACCCAACATCCAGCAAAGAACCACAGCTTGCGCAGCCTGCATCCTCTCCACCAAAGCCTTGTCTTTCAGTCACTCTGTTGGCCAGACCTCATCTCCGACCTGCCGAGATCTGCCGGGCAGGCGATGCCTACACCCGAGAGAAATTCAAACCCCGGGCCACTCGTAAGTGAGCAAATTCTGCTAAGGGATCAGTTTTGCCTCCTCTTTCCTTTCCTCCAGTCTCTAGAACACTCTCTCTTATTTGCTTTCCAGCCTCCTTCTTCCTTCTCTCGAATCCACTGGCAGGTGCACAAAAGCCAGAGCTGTGAGGGGACTCTTGACAGTGCCTCCCTTCACTGATGATCACATCCCAACCCTGTCTGCTGGCTGGCTGATTAACAGAACAGGATTTCACTTTACCTTATTGTGACGAGGCAATTCTCACATAATTGTATGGCTCATAGACTGGTATCAGACCACTGATGTAAATGTAGCTGGGACTTTTGCTGTCAGTACAGTACGTGTAGTGCCTGTGCTGTATATAGGATGCGAATGGGATGTACCATAATAGATATTTCCTATCCAATTACTTATATAGAATCTCCAGCTGTGTGTGTCCAGGCACAGCTGCCAGCAGGGCCTTGGTGGGGAGACTGTACTTCTGCCTCAGTCTGACAAAGATTTGTTTTTTTGATCTTCCACAGGTGACTTAGAGAGGGAGAAGCAAAGGCTCCAAAATATCTTAGCGACTGGAAAGGACACGGTGGAACAGAAGCCACAGCAGAAGCCAGTGCGGACAGAGGAAGAGGAAATACCTGAGCCTGACCGGTTTGAAGAACGTACGTATGGAAATAGGCCAAGGCACAAAGGAAGGCCTTAGATACAGGCCCCTTACAAAAGGCAGGGTGGTGGGCTTTATGCATTAGTAAGCTGAGATTTGTTGTGGCAGGTGGGATGCTGGATTAGACTTTATCTAGACTAGAAAGGTTTGCTGATATAGCTATACTAGTAGTACGGTACCATAGCTATATGGGCAAACCCTTCTAGTGGAGATGCAGCTCATCCCGGCAGAAAAGTGCTTTTGGCAGTATAGTTTATACCACGTCCCCCAAATAAAATTAGCTACACAGGCAAAAACATTTTTTTGCTAGTATAACTGCACCTACAGTAGGATTTTTGCTGACATAGCTATGGCAGTTTGGGGTGTGATGTTTTTCACACTCTGAACCAATAACGTTGACAAAACTTTTAATGTAGACTGGGCCTTAGCTGGACCACTGCTCAGTTTTGACGTGTAGAATCCTATGGGGTGATTCCCAACATCCCACTGCACTGAATAAGCTTTTAAAAACACTCCCCAGCCCCAAATCAAGCTGTATTTCCTATAGGCTGGGAAGAGAGAGAAATAAAGAGATGGCTATTTCTATCCTTAAATGCAGGAGATGCTAATATACTGTGGTGAAGAGGGCAAAGTCAGAGTCATTCTAGATATTACGCCCCCCCTCCATTCTAACAGGGCTGGGAAGTGGGGAGGTCAGAGTTCAGGCAATGCTGGTGTGTCCTCACTTTGACTGGTTCTGTGCATGTCTCTTTATCTTGTGCTCAGTGATGAATGAAATTCAGGAGCGGAAGGAATTCCTGGCAGAGATGGAGGCTCTGGGCCAGAGCAAGCAGTATCGAGGGATTGTCCTCACTGAAATCTCACAGGTACCTTGGGAACCCCTCTGGCCTCTGCAGCATGTAGGATTGAGGGAACCTTGGTGTTGGAGGATCTCAGTTCTAGGGTTTCTATCCAATAACTAGATGTGGCCTACATTTGGAAGGAGGAGAGCCCAGCATTTTCTCTCAGGCAATGAGGTAGAAAAAGAGGGATGAATTTAGGAGGTTGGGGCGGGAGAGAGGCCTCTGTCATTTTGGTATGTAATTTCACTGGGGAAGAGGATCCTTTCTTCTCAGGTTTGGCAGGAAATAGGAGTTTCTGGCATTCTCACCAAGTCATCCTTTTTGTTCTGCTCTTTGCAGAAACTGCGGGAGATGGAGATCATCGATAAGAAGAGGAGTAAGGATGTAAAAGAGGCAATGGCAAAATACTTCCCTGTGGGGAACAAATCTGATCCCAATAGCTAGACCAAAACCAGACACCAGAGCAGACCATTCCCACCCCTTCTTTCCTTGTCCTTCCAACAGGGCTGGGCCTCCTCTCTAGAATGGTCACAGAACTGGTCTACGCCTATCCATCTAAGGCAGATCCTCTCGGAGGAATGTCAGTAGCACCTGTTGCATAAACCCAAGAGGGCAGTAACTATTTATGCATAGTACAAAACAGGAGAAAGTCTTTGCAAAATCCTACCAACACTGATTAGTCTCCCTTCAGGCAGCTGTTTCATGGCTACGTGAACTTGATGGTTGGGTGAACCAAATCAGGGAATTAGACTGGTTCCCTCCTCTGGAGGGACTAGGAGGAGATGAAAAGACCTCAGCATGCTCCAGTCGCCTCTGAAACATGGTGAAGCAAGGTCTCTTTCCACCTATGGCACACGCCTTAAGGTGTCAGAACAAAGCTGACCTGCACAACAGACACCCGGAATGAAAATCTCTGTCCCTTTTCCATATGGCCCAGACTCTGGGGATTCTGGTTGTTTCTAGTGGAAGCTGAAAATTAATGTGTTTACTTCCTTATCACTAAATCCATATCATCACTCATGTCAGCACAGCCCTGGAAACTGTCAGCTGCTGCTGCAGAGCAGGTGAGGGAGGAGAACCACACTGCCTTACATAAATATTAGCCTTGATTTTAATGTGATTGCATCTTGGTGAGAATTTGTGTGGGTGTCTTTAGGAACTTGTCTCTTGCTCAGGCACTAAAATATGCAGGCTTAGAAACATGGCTACAGTGGGTTGGGCCAGGGGAGGAATTCACTTTGGGGTTCACAGCGCAGGAGAGTCTGTTCCCTGATCATTTGTCTTCTGTTCCCTGGGAGCATCTTGACAAGGACTGACATGGCCAAAGGCAGTGGGGCCAAGATATTCATAGATTTTAAAGCCAGAAGGGATCATTACTAGTCTGACCTCCATAACACAAGCTAAAGAATTTCATCCAGTTACCTTTGTATTGAACCAAGAGGCTGCTGGAATCCCCAATCTCATCCTTTTCTTAGGTTCAGAGGTTGAACTATTTGTCAGCAGTACTCCACCAAACCTCCACAAGCCAGGCAAGTACCCAACATTGGGCTCAAACCCATAACCTTGAGATTAAGAGGTGCATGTGCTACCAACTGAGCTAGCCAGGTACCTAAGGTGAGCCAAGCACAGGTAAGGATAAGCAACACAGGGTGGCAGTAGTTTTTTTTAACTCCACTGGTTTTATTTTTCTGCAATGACTGGCAATCCCAGAGTTAGTACAGTGTAACAGTTTACAAATCAAAATACTGACGGGAGTAGGACTGGGGGTGTCAGACTGCAGCAATTCTAATGGCCTTTGACAGTGGCTCAGCTGCACGCTACAAGGCCAAATTGACTGCTTTACTTTGGAGAGGGTAAGTTGTGCTTTGGGATCTCCCTGGCCAAGAGATGATCATAGAAAGGTGGCCACTGCTCCTAGAGCAGCCAGTTGGGGGTTGCAAGAATATGATGGGGCCCTCCATTCCTAGGGCTGAGTATGCTGCCCCAACCAGTACTGGTGGCCCTTGGGACCAAGATGATAAACTCAGCTCCCTCAATGGTTTTGTAAACAGGGATCCCTGTATAAAAATATACTCCAGCAAGTGTGCAAGACACTGCTGGAAGCAAGAGTGGTTTGGATCAAACCTGTAGTATTTTTATAAGGGAATGCAGCAGTTTGCTCTGGGCTGGTAGTTACTCTGCTAACAAGGCAAGGCAAGACAACAGCTGACCAACCAACACCCACAAAACTCAGTGTCTAACTCAGACCAATCAAACGGCTCAATAAATAGCTCCTCACCTTGGAGAAGGCAGAAAAAAGGAAGGAAGGAGGGAAGACTGCTCTCCCCATCCCCCAACGCACACACACAACAAATAAAACAAGGGTTTAAAAAGCTGGGTAGGGTTGAATCCATCTAGTAACAAAGCTATTAAAAAAAAAAAACCCAAATACCCCCCTTTTGCACTTTTAAAAATATAAATACAAACAAAGCTGGAGAAGGGCCAGCTGAGATTCCCTCCCCACTCCCCAAGCTGGCAGAGGGAAGCACTAGCGAGCAAGGCAACAGGACAACCTTGCTGGCACTGAATAAAGTCTTGCAGCGAGGGTTAAATGTCCTGGGTGGGGTATCTTGGACATGTCCAATTGGACTCCCCATAATCCCTTTTCCTTAGCCGTTCTGCCTGGCCCCGTCATTGATCCCTCCCAGCCCTGAAGCTCGTGGGGTGCATGTCATCAGGGGGAGGGGAATCTCTCCACAAACAGGACAGTGGTTTACTTTTTTTTTTTTTAAGGAACTTGAGGCATGGAAAGTTTTTAGGGTTTCTTTCCTTTTTGTTTAGTTTTTTAATGTGAATTTAGTGCCAATAAAATAATCCTGTTTATAAGCCCCAGAGTCTTTTACCAAAGTTAAGAGTGGGAATTCAGACTGCTAGGGAACGAAGTGGAGGTTGGGGAGGGACAACTGTGTACAGTCCCCCAAGGCAGAGGGTATGAGGCACATGTGACTATCACAGTTAGAGTGAGGGACGGGGCAATTAGTGCAAGTTTCCCACAAATACCAAAATCCTTTACTTACCGCTCAGACAGTTAATAATAATAATAAACACACAACTGGGTAATATCTCCTAAAGCTATTTCACCTCCTCCCCACTCCCCAAAGCTTGTGGATAGTATCTTTTCTCCTCTGATCAGGCTCCCCACAGCCTTAGGAAGGGGAGGTATTGTTGATCAGACTCGCCATGTCTCCTCTTTTTTGGGCAACTCCATGTCTGTGGCTGAAAGCTAAGTTTCCCTGGGAGAAATCAGTGTTGGCATGTGGGGGTTGACGAGAGGGGAGAGACAGCTTCTGGAGGGGAGTGGGAGGCAGAAGCCCCAGTGGCAGGTATCCAGCCAGCCACAGGGAGGGCTGATGCAGTCAGACAGCAGTGCATCCATCCTTTCTTCTGGCTTTCTCCTGCTCTAGCTTTTCTCCTTGGGTGACTTGCTCTTTGATTCATGTTTATTGCCAAGCAGCTTCAGCACCTTCATGGGCTTGAACTTTCCTTTCTTCTTGCCCTCAGACTCCTTGTGAAATTCTGCAGAAGAGTTGCAAGGAGAGGTTATTTTCTAAAAGACAGAGCCCAGGAGTGATGCATGCATACTGGTGCCTATACCCTCAATAGAGACATGCCTCCACCTGTGTGATGTATACAGACTAGGGCTAAACTACTTGATGCATACATCTGTGTGAGCCACCAGTGCCTGAATGAAAACACACACACATTCAGTGCAGGTCACTGAGATTAGAGAGGGAGACACACACACTTACACTTTCACTGCAGGTCACTGAGATTAGACACAGGAGACAGAGCTTTCTCAGGAGCTGTTCCCAGGCTGTGGAATGAACTCCCACAGGAATTAAGGACCAACACAAACCTCACCACCTTCTGCTCCAAGTGAAAAGCACATTTTTTTGACTTTGCCTTCTCTAACATAAACACATAGCAACGTGTGTGTATATTATCTATACATTCTAACACACTTCTCCCTCTGGGAACAGGAGGAGAGGAGAAAAGGTGACGGGCGTTAGTCAGATTGCATAATGCATTTGTGGAAGATGCTCAGAGGTGGTGGGTGTGATATAAGAACCTACATATAATAGAATAAATCCCTAAACACATACACATGTTCATGTGCATTTATACTAATGCCCTTTATTCTTCTGCCCTCTCCTCGGGAGTGTGAGAGAGCAGCCAGGACTCTGAAGTCCTCCAGTATTGGAATGTGGCTCCCATTCACTTTCTTACCTTTCTTTTTAATCATGGCTTCCAACAATTTATCCTCCTCTTCCTCTCTGAAAGAAACAGTGGGAAACTGTTGAGAGATTCCACGCTGAGGACAACAGCCACAACATTGTTGGAAGAGAAGAGCTCCCCACTGCTCATGACTGGTATGGTCATTGGCATCCCATAATCCCTTGCTACAGTTATGACATATTCCCCATATACACATACCAGGACAGACATCATCCAGAGATACAGACACACACCATCCCCACAAGTCATTAGCATTGATTCACAGGAACAAGGATTGGGGGACCCTCGGAAAGGTCTGTCATTAACAGTGGCATCATGGTGTTGCACTTCACAGTACAAGTTCACCCCATACAGGTGGGCTGCACCACCTTTTCCACTGTGTCACTCAGACAGGGCTGTAAAGGCAGCTGGGTTTCGGACAGATCTCCCCCTTTCCGCCATGTTACCTTTGCCGGTCCTCATCCAGGCAGTTGACAATGGCATTACGTTGTTCAATAATGGTGACCAGCTCCTGCATCAGCACTGTCTCCCTCTCTCGGTCGTCATCCGTCCAGTCCTTAGCTATCCACCCCAGAAAAGACAGGGAGTTAAACGACTAAGTTTCCCTTGGGCAAGGAGTTCAGGGCTCCAAAGTACCATACAAGAGACCTGGGTTTGATTCCTGTCTTGAGCCTAGCAGATGACTCTTTGGACCTCTACACTAGGTTAGAATGATGGCCTCTCAATGCGGGGACTGGGAATACAGTCTAGAGAGCATGCTCAGGAATTGATGCTGGGGAGGGACTATCTCATGTTACTCAACAGCCGCCCTGCAGCCAGTTAAGGAGGAGTATTAATATCCATCAAAGGCAAGTCCCATTTGGTCCCTTTTACCCAGGGACTAGCCATGACTGAAGGTATAATGGGCATTGCGGGGACAGAGAACCTGCTCAGGGTGGTATTTCACCAGTACTAAGAGATTTACCCGGCTTATTGAGAAGGCACCGCAGTTCGTACTCTACATCAGCCTGACGCTGCTCCAAGTTCTGCTGCTTAAAACTGCAAAGAAAGAGAAACACCATCAAAAACCCATTGCAAGGCTCAGAGAGATCCCTCCGGAAAGCAGCTGTCCTCTCTGGGAAGCCATCTCCATGGGGTCAGATGTGAAAGTAACAACTGTGACCTTAGCCTTACCCACCAGGAGACTTGTAGTGAAAGGGCAGGAGTCTTGGCTGTACTCCCAGCGATGCTAGCCCCAGCCTCATCCAGTAAAGACTGATGTAGGAGTGGTGGCTACAGGGTGCTCACAGCCTCTTACAGAAGGAAGTGCCATGGGGAACACTGCAGGAGCGCTGGCTATGGGGAAGCCCACAGCTCTTGTAGCTCCAGTCTCTGAGTAGTTCCAAGTACACTTGGACACAGAGTCAATGTCTTCATAGATCTCTAGCCCCACCCCTTGACTAGGAAGCCTACCAGGGCCTTCTGGTAAAGTGTCTCAGGTGGGAATAGGGAGGCTCTTCTGTCCTCCCCAGTTTTGGAGGCAGCATCAGTGCGTTCCCCCTACTCACATGTAGATGAGCTCTGACTCACGGCGCACCAGCATGTGCTTCTCGTGGATGAGCTTGAACCAGTCCACCAGCAGGCTGTCCTCGGGGCTATCTACCAGTCAAACAGGCAGAGAGAGAACTCAGAGACATTCCTCAGGGCTTTCTGCCCACAGAACGCAGCAGGCCAAGGCAGGCTCTGCCACGCTGGGGAGGGAGAGATTCACTTATAATCAACCTGACCTCATCCAGCTCCTGAACACATGGAAAGTGGAGTGAATTAAACAGTTCTCAGCCTCCCATGGAGAAGTGATGGTTCTGATCCATTTTCCTCATAGCTCAAGCCAGTTAGCATGGCCCCACCCTTCCCCCACTCAACTCCCTTGATCCTTCATCACCCTAGCCTTAAACAGAGGGCATATTATCACAACTTCTCCTTCCTCATTTCCCCCCATTACAGGGGTGATACAGCCTTACATCTTAAAATTCCCTATCCTCTAAGACACATCTTCTCTTCCCCTCCCCCTGTCCCCACCCAACCCCCACGGTTGGTACAATCCACATTACCATTTTCGACACTGCGGAGTTTCTCCTCCAGTTCCACCCCTCGGTGCTCCAGCTCGTCCAGCCGCTGCTCAATGGTGTCCATCTCTCCGTAAATATCCTCCACTGGGACGTACTGATCCGCCTGGACCTACCAAACCACACAAGCAGGAACACCCATTGCTATGGGCAGCCACTTTCCCTGGGCAGCCCTTGACCCATCTGCTCCAGCATCCTGCCTGGGGACCCCAATGCACTCCCTGGCGGGCAGTGGAAAGAGCAGGGGAGACTAGCACTCTTCTGTGGAGGAGGCAGAGCAATGGGAGTGACCAACTCCCCCCCACAGGACTGACACAGCATCAGAAGAAATCAAACATCTCCTGGGGGAAACCACCCTGCTCCATCGCACGCAGACTAATGACACTGCTGGAGGAAGATGCACTTGCAGCACATGCATTAAAATCTCCCTCCATCGACAGCTCAAACTGGCCCCCTGTTATCTTGGGGGAGTGGTGTGGATATCTTTTGCCCCTCTCGTTCAGCACACCCCTCTTACTCAGACAACTCCCTCCTGAGGTCTGCCAACTGCTGTGCCATACGGTGAATCAGGACACGCCTAAGGGCAGAGACTGGAGAGACCATTTTATTCCCCAAGCGGTGGGGAGAAGAGAGTGGGAGCCAAAGTAAAGCCCCAGGTGGCTGGTTCTAGGCAGTCTGGCCAACCTGCAGCTCCCAAAGGGAGCCACTAGTGACGCAAGTCAATGTACACCCCTCTGAGGGGCCTTCTAGGGAGTGTGCGCGCACACAAGAAGGCTCTCCACCCATCCTCCAGATCCCTCAACAGCCAGCCACACATGACTCCCGCCGCTGGAAGCAAGGAAAGGAAATGGGGGTTCAGCAAGCAGAGCTGCAGTCCCAGCCGACAGTGCGGAGGTGACATTTGCTCCTGTGCTCCTCTGTCCCCTTTACCTTGCGTTTGATCAGCGGGAAGCCATGTCCTGGTGCAGGAGGGCGCGCTGGCTTGGATCCTTTGGGGGGTTTCTGGGCCGAGGGGGAGGTGACAGGTGACGACTTCCGGTTGAAGGGATTCTCTTTGCATGAAGACTGGGGGGAAAAAAACAAGGAGATGATTCGGTGCTCAGGAGAGAGCAAGGGTACGTCTTCACTTACCGGAGGGTCCGGCGGCAGGAAATCGATGTTCTGGGATCGATTTATCGTGTCTGGTTAAGACGCGATAAATCGATCCCGGATCGATCCCGGAAGTGCTCGCCGTCGACGCCGGTACTCCAGCTCGCCGAGAGGAGTACGCGGCATCGACGGGGGAGCCTTCCTGCCGCGTCTGGACCCGCGGTAAGTTTGGACTAAGGTACTTCGAATTCAGCTACGTTAATAACGTAGCTGAATTTGCGTACCTTAGTCCGAAGTGGGGGCTTAGTGGGGACCAGGCCCAAGAAAGCAGATCCCAAGCAGGGTGTGAACATTGAGCAAACACCCTCTCACAGGAACTGCCATATTGGAGCAGAGTAACGGTCCACCTAAGCCACTATCCCTGCTTCTGCCATGGTGGAGTAGACAGCTGGTCCATCAGCCCTTGTCTACAGGAGCAAACTTTGCAAGTGTAATTCCCCACCAGTGCAGCTCCAGAGCATGGTTTGGTACCAGCGTGCTAAAAGAACCCAAGTCCTGTCTACACCATAGTTTCTACTATTGCTTCCACTGCTGGAGTTGCATTGGTGGGGAACTGTAGCTACAAAATTCATGAGTGTAGACAGCCCTTTGGATACTCTGGTATCCTGTCTATGACAGCAGACAGCCTTGAATGTTTCCAAGGGAAGTATAAACCCCTAGAATGCACCTCACTGCACTATGGGAGGTGCATCTTCCTGACTTTAGCCAGTGATTAGCATGTCCCCTGAGGCATAAGGATTTATAGCCCTGGTTAGTTTATCCTAGCCAGTGTCACTGCAGATACTATTCTTATCTGTATCAATATTTAATTCTTTTTTTGATCACACTAAGTTATTTGCCTCAGTAATGTCATGTGGCAGTGAGTTCCACAGCTTAATCATAAACAGCATGGAAAGCTATTTTGCTTTGAGCAGCATTTTCATTTGTTTTGATTTGTACTCTGAGGCAGGGTGAATAAGAGCACGATTACTATTTAACTAGCGCTTATCCCACCAGACTGAGAGAATCTTAGCTCTGGCTCTGCCTGACCGGCTCTTTGTGGTCACATTTTGTGCCAACAAACAGGGCTGGCTCCAGGCACCAGCGAAGGAAGCAGGTGCTTGGGGCAGCCAATGGAAAGGGGCAGCACATCCGGGTCTTCGGCGGCAATTCGGCGGCGGGTCCCTCAGTCCCTCTCTTCCTCTTTGAGCTGCCGCTGAACTGCCACTGAAGAGGAAGAGAGGGAGCGAAGGAACCACTGCCGAATTGCCGCAGAAGAATGAAGCGGCGCGATTGAGCTGCCGCCGAAGTGCTGCTGATCGGCTTTATAAAAAAGCTGGAGCTGGCCCTGCCAACAACGTTGCACAAATAGGTCGAGAGCAGCATGTCACTACTGAAAGCCACAGTACAGAGTCTCACCACTTGGTGGTACCGGAGCTGCTTTGGGGTGAAAACATCACCATAGGATAGCAGAGTGTTGGAGACTGGTAGCCTGACCCTCAGCTCCGGTGTGGAGATGTCTCCAGGTGGAGAGGTGGAAAAACAGCGAACAGCTCAAGGCCAGAGGCCTATTGGTAGGGGTGGGTTTCCCCTCCCAAAGGGCACTGAAGGGCATCTCCTCCGGGCCTCTTTGGAGGACAACCATGTGTTGTGGGTCGGGGAGGGTGGGAGAAAGGGAGGGGTTAGGAGAAATGCACCAGCCTACCTTCAGCTGCGGCTTGGGCGATGGGGAGTTCTTGGGGCCTCCTTCACCCATGTCCGAGGCCAACAGGATGGGTGTGGGACTAGCACTGGCAGGAGGCTTGGGGGGCAGTTGGCTGGGGCTCGTCTTTAAATTGCTGTCAGAAAAGCTCTTGCTGGTCTGTTGAGCTCCCCCCTGCGCCTCCCCACTGGAGCTGGCTAGCTCACTGGAGGAAGAGAAGGAGGAGTTGGCGGACAGGCTGGCTGGGGCTGCAGGGCTCTCACTGGAGGAGACACTGGTGAGCGGAGTATCTGCACAGGAGATCTTGGAAGCAGCCGGCACATGGACTGTGGGTTCAGAGGAGCTCTTGGGCACTGATGCCTCATCCGGGTCACCAGCGGCCTTGACTGAACACTCGGAGTTGATGCTCTCAAGGCTGAGGGCAGGTGATGGGGTGGAGGAGGATGGCTCTGAGTGCGAGAGCCTGGAGATGGGATGGTGAACTACAAAGGAAAGAGAGAGGTCAGAGGGGAACGGGAAGTAACAAATACCCTCACACACACATACCAGCCACAGATGGAGACTGCCGGAGGCACCTTCAGGAGCGAGATCTCTCGAACACCCACCCTGTGAGACTGGGTGGGAAGCAGGATTTGGTAGCACAGAGCCCAGCCCAGCTGGCGTAGACATTAGGACTTGCTCTGCCTGCTGGAGAGGTGAAAGCGTCGGGGCTGCCTATCCCTGGCGTCCAAGGGTGACAGAGGCGGGAGTTCTGGGTAGGATGGCTGGGCACAGAAGGGTGTGGGAGGGACTCACCTAGGGGGGAGGCACTGGGTGCTCGCGGAGCCGGACGTTTCTTTGTCTTGGGACTGCTAGTAGGGGTGATGCGGTACCAGGGATGAGTGGGTTTTGTCGTGCTCTCACTCTGGTCCTGCTTTGGCGTGCTCTTTGGTGTTGCACCTTCCTCCTCTTCCTCCTCCTCCTCAAAGGGGTTGTAGGCTTTAGGTTCCCTGCTGGCGGATCTGCTCTCCCTTTCCCTCCCTTTCCCCTGCTCCTCCTCTTCCTCTGAAGCCCTCGTGGGAGTCTCCTGGCCACTGCCTGGTGGGGGAGGAGCCGGCTTCCTCTTGGGCTCTGGCTGAACCAACGCAATCCACGGAGGGTCCTTTGGTCTCACAGCAGCTCCCGCTCTAGTTGAAGAGAAGAGCGGGGTCAGGGAGGGAGAGGGGATGAGGAGGACGCATGGAAGAGAGAATTCATGACAAACCAGGTAGAACATTGCCCATAAGGGGGAAAACGTCAGGCTAGGGCTGCCGCTGCCTTCTCTCTGCAGAACATTCACCCCCAGGGACAGGTTGAGGGTATGACTGGGCATGTGGGTTCACAGGCTGGGGGAGCACAAACCTTCCAGCCTCACTAACGAGGCTGGGAACCAGAGATCTGTGCCCTGATTTCACTGTCTGGCAAACTATAGTAATTGGCCATTCCCAGGAAACGTGGCCTCTCTCCCATCCCCCATGTCGCACAACAGCAGGAAAGATTAAACTATCTCCCACGCTTAGCGGACATGCTGCTAATGGCTGGGGGGCTGAGGACATCCTAAGCAAATGGCTCCAGCCAGCTGGGCTGTTTATTGGGATCTTCGAGCACCCTGGCTGAGCTGGAGAATTACCCCTCCCCCAGCACAAGTCACTTCTCTTTACACAATGAATTGGGGAGGGAGATGCAGTGGGGGCAGTTCACTGGATCAGTTTTCACCCAATAATCAATGCAAGAAAATATCTCAGGTGCCCAATTGCCCCATTGCTCACTGAGGCAGGTGAGGTGCTTTTCCTTGTTACATGCCTCAGTTTTTCTCTCTCTGAAATGGGGACAATGATACAGACCAGCCTTTGCAAAGTGCTTGGAGATCTTTGGATGAAAAGCATTGTATGGGTGCAAAGTATCACCATTACAGCCAGACACACACAACAGAAACCCCGCCCAGGAATGTGGAACATTCCCCCAAGCAGCCAAGCATTTCCTCTTCCCCAGCTGTTCGGTTTTGCCGATTCAGGGTGGCTTGGAATCCTGAATACATCAATCCAATTTTAAAAATTTTATTAAGACGATGTTTAAAAAAGTGAATGGTGCAGAGTTTAAGCGTAGAAGTTTCTGGTTATCAGGGAATAACATACAGACTATCAAGGGGTGCGAAGTTCGGTTTAAGATCGGATGGTGTAAGGAATACATAATCTGCAATATCCCCGATTGGGGATAAAAGGTTAACGGGTCAAAGTATAGACATTGAGATATGAGTACTAAATGTGTTCTTTGCCTTTCCATAGCCCCTTTCACATGAAGATCTCCAAGCGCTTTACAAGTCTTCCTGAATGGCAGACACTGCATTATCCCCCCTCAGGTACAGATGGGGAAAGGCTGGCACAAGGAGAGAAGGGACTTGCTCTAAGCCAGTGGTTTCCAAACAGTGGATTGCAGGAAGGTTCAATGTGGGTTGTGGGCCCAGTGCAGAGGGGAGGCTCCGAGAGGGAGTCTGGAGGGCAAAGCCACCTTGCATTCATCCCGCACCAGCAGCTTCTGTCCTACAGGGCTGGGGCCAGCTCCCCGCTCCAGGGGTGGCAACCCGCATGGGGTCTCAGCACCACTCAGGTTTGGCCCAGCTGCCCGTCTGTCAGGACACGGTGGACTGCAACCCCGAGCCCAATTGCAATGCCTGGGGTTGGGAGCTGGGTCCAGCCTCACGGGACAGGAGCCACCACTGAAGAGTAAGTGAGGGATGTGACGTTCTCCAGCCAAGGCCTCCCCTCCACACAGGCTGGGATTAGGGTCATGGTGCCAGGGCAGATGGAGCTGCTGAGGGTAGGTGGTGCCCCCTCAGCAGGGCAAGGAGAAGGCAAAGGACACTCGTCTATGATTCTGGCCCTCCCACCAATGGGTGGGTTGCAAAAAAGACCAAATGGAATTGGTGGGTGGGCTCAGTAAAATGTCTGGGAAGCACTGCTCTAGCCCCACATTGAGTTCCAGCCTGGAACAGAACTGGGGTCTCCCCAGGCCTTAGCCACAAGGCCCTCCCTCTCCACTGCCAGCTGATCAGCCAGGGAGGGGTGGGGCTGGAAGGAGAGTTCATGAGTTAATCACAAGCACAATGCCTCCTGGTCTATATGGTTTCGGGGCAAGCCAAAGGACCTACCGATCTGAGGAGGTGGGTCTCCCTCTCGGTTTGGGGACTGGGGGGCCGGGTTCAGGTACCCTACCTAGACAGGCAATTGGAAAGATACACGGTAAGAAAAGCAAAAGGCCATTAGGAAGCAGATGAAAAGCTCAATGGATTTCCTTTTGTCTTCTGGCTGCTCCTGCTCTCTGCAGATCCCACAGCATTTTCCCCCTTGGCGTAGGGGTGTCAGCCCCAACACGCAGGCCAGATTCCAGCCTGGGTGACCTTGTTAACCAAAACTCACCCCCTGCAGCTGCCCTCACTCCTGCAAGCTGTGGAGTAGTGCTGGGGACAGTGTTGCGCGCCATCGAGACCCTCTGTCAGCCCAAATACAGCGTAGCACTAGGGCACCAGACCCATCCACGCTACTCTGCCCCTTCTGGCAGATTGAGGCTCAGCCATCAAGACCAAGGTTCGATCAGAGATCTGGAGGTGTCAGTTTGAGAGGGGCTGGGGAAGGGCATCTTTGAGCCTCATCAGGGTCAGAGGCTTTGCTGAGCGTAAGCTGCACTGCAATGGGGAAATGGGGACCACCCCACACGCCATCCTTGCACCTTCTTACCGTTCACCAGGCCAGGCCCTGGCTCAGAGGCCTCACTCTGCACGTTGGATCTAGGCCGAGGGACGGGGTGAGAGCTTGGTGGTGACGGGGCTGCTGCGTCTGCGCCCCTCCTCGGGGCGGGGGTGGGACGAGTGTCCTTGAGCCGTCCGTCCAGTGGGCTGGCTTTGTCCTGGCTGGGCACTGGTGGTTTGCTGGGGAGAGGAGGCCTGGGTGGAGTTTGGGAGCAGGGCTCAGAGCTGGGTGTTTCATTCTCTGCACGGACAGGGGACGCTGCCGTCTCCACTCCAATGGGTGCACGACCCTTCTCTGCTGCATCTGCCTCCTTCTCTCCCGGTGGGTGGCTCTCTGATGCAATCGCCAGGGATGTTTGGACACCGTCCTCTTTCCCTTCCTCCTCCTCCTCCGAGGGGGGGGGCATCCTCACCCACAGTGGCTGCCCCAGCCTCAGTCCTCTTGTCCGGGTGCTGCAAATCAGGGCTGGGCCTGCACTCCGTCCTCCCACTCAGGCCCAGCTTGCCCCGGTGCTGGGTGCACACAAAAGTGCCCGACTCCGGCCCAGGTTTGTAGGATCCAGGGAGTAGTGTGCTGGAACATTCCTTACACCTGCCAGCGAGACACACAAACCATCCTGAGAAGGTGGGGAAAGGGCCTTCTACAGGAGGGGAGATTTACAAGGCT